AGGGCATGAGTAGTGGCATCATTAACAGTATGAAAAGTTATCACCAACATGTGCATTCGTGTTGAAACGACCGAGGATGGGGAGGAGGGAGGCAGGGAGGAAAGGTATTGGTTGAAATGATAGGGATGCGTCACGAGTTGCGTGAAACCTTAACCTCTAGCATGCATGTTTGTCGCAAATTTTTTTTTTTTTGCGTGAAAGGCAATGAATAATTTTCGGCAGTCTGCTGTTCATTGTAAATGAGAATTGGACAGCGAGTAGGATATCGACAAAAAAGCATGACGAAAAACAAACTGTATGCATTTTTGAGGCTGAGAACGAACTGGGCATCTGTTATGCCCGTGTGCAGGTAATTTTGCCCCCAAAACAAGTTTAGGTCACACGCGGACACGGAATATCCTTGCAAAAATTTCAGTTTCTTAGCTTTTCTGACGTTTGAAATTACTACTTCGCTACAGATATCTTTGATATGCCCTAAGGAGCGGCGCAAGGGCAATTCGAAACTCCATTTAGATGTACGAGTCCCCAGGCGGCCGATAAATACTTTGGTAAAATAATTACAGCTATCCTTTTCCAGCTAATTCTCGAGTTGGCACGATGTCAACCAGAAATTTTGACGTTGTTATGTACATAACGCAAGCATACACGATAAATGAATATGAAGTTTTTTAGCTTAATATGCAGAAGATGCCCCTGTAAAGTTCCAAATCCCTACTTCTATCGGCTGTCAAAATTGTTTACCGCAATAAATTTGTGCTTTTTCCAAGTTTCTGAACGTGAGATCTAGGCAAACGTACGCACTGTTTTTAGAACAGGAGGGTGACACACGAGATGGAAATGTGCGTCTATAATTTTTAGCTTCTCAGCTTTCGTGCTAAGTTGGAAGTGAGTAGTAAAGTTCACTCGCCTCTGTAACACACACACACACCTTGACAATATGCGTTTTCGTATTTGCATAAGATGCAAAGGCGCATGGAAATTTCGTACTGTAGAAAAGTGGTGTAACCGTAGAACGCTGGCAACGAGAAAGCGACGATGAAGAAGAAACCTCAAAAAGCACCAACAAATATGAAAGTGAGCAGGAATCTATCGTAAACTTGTTAGTATTTTTTTTTTGATTTTAAAATATACGGAATTAACGCTTATAGCCACATTAATGCTTGTAGTAATTCTGATTATAACGTTTACAGTCAGAATTAGCGATTGTAGCCCCATTAAGAACCAGTGCAGAATTCTTAGTAAAATCTGTTACTCCTCGATCAAAAAAGTTTTCCATGTCGAAACGATATTCTTCTTCACTTTTCCAACTAATTTCTTGCTCTATTTTGCAATCCCTTAAAGCAGTTAATTATTTCTAACTTAATTTTTACTTGCAAAAATCTAATACGCAACTTCATCTAAATTTAACGATGCTTTGACCGAGTGCAGCATTTTTTCTTATCCAAAATTTTAAGCTGATTCAGTGCATTTTTGCAAAGGCGATTTTTCTCCCTGCTAAAATGGTGCAACCAAATGAATGAAAGTTTAATTACTTTTATTTCTCGACTTTTGAGAGTGAAATTTGGATTGGCCAACGAACACCAAAGCTGATTAGGTAGTTTGTTTGGTATCACAACAGTTATAACGTCGATTTCATTCATCAACATATTAGAAAAAATTTATAAAAGCAGTTTCAGATAATGGAGCGGCTTGTTTAATAACTGGTTCCCCTGTTGCAGACCAGTACAGGACGTCAACAGTAATCAAAGAATAGTACGAAAATTTTTTAGACATGAATTGCCAACAGTAGAGAGTATATATGTAGAATCAAGCGATGTGATCAACGACAAAGAACTACTGAGTAGCAGCAATACCGCAGTGCGGAGAACCCGTCGGCGATATTCTATTGATAGACTGGAGGAAAAACAAACTTCTGCTGGGTTAAAGAAAAGTGGGCAGGTGAAGGTATCTACAGCTAATGAATCCAAGTCATCTGTGTCAAGCAGCCAGTCAGAATTCACTACAGGAAATCAGGCAGTTAGTTTTGAATCCTTTTTGTGTAAATCTATTGATTGTGAACAAGAGTTTTTTGCTTGAAATTCAGACTGAAGAAGAAAATGCTGCAAGGGAAGAAACATTCAACACAAATGCGAAGCACCGACTATCACGGACCAGGTTATTCCAGCACCTTTCATGAGCAGAGCAAAATTCCGCACTTGTGTTGAAGAACTGAGTTCCTTAGTGAACTTACAGAAAGTTCGATTTGCTGCTTCACTGAGCCATGAACTTTTATTCACTGTGTAAAAGAGTGTTAGGACAACGTAAATTTGCAGTTTCAGTAAAGTTAAAGAAACATCGTCACAAATGTCAGTTTCAAGTCAGCGTCAATCTGAAGAAACTTTATCCTCTGGAAAAGCAGCATATAAGGTAAATTATCCACTATGTTTGGTGACTTAGCTGGCTTTTTAAAAAAAATTGTGCACCAGCAGAATTGATCATTCCGAAATGTTTTTTCGCGCCCTATGCGGCAATCTTCTGTGTTTTACAATTAAACCATATTTTGTTTGACCTAATTTTTTACCTTCTAACAGCACATTTTAATGACGCTTCATTGAATTTACTCCTCTTCTTTATCTCTTCCATCCCCCTCTCCCTTCTACTTCCTTATCCTTCCAACGTTTCCTTTAGCTTCTAAACTTTGCGACTTTTAGGTCTTGTTCTCTACATCTAACGTTGCTCTAGCTAATTTCTTTAAGCTAAATTTTGTGCTTCTTTTGTGAGATTTTTTACTCCCTCTTCCCACCAAGTAATTTTGCGCTTCTCTTACTGAAATATGGGTATCAGTTTTTTGCACTAATTGTTTCCAAACACAATTACAATGCCTTCAGCTCCAAAAGTAGTGGTTGCCCGTTCTCGCTGAACAAAACATCGGCTGAATCGTTCAGTTCCTCATGAATATGCATCCCGAATATGCCAAAAAATTTCGTAAATATTTAATCAAAACTGAGCAGACATCTCGCAGTGTTTGTATGTTAAAGACTGCAGGCTTGGTTGCTCGAAAAAAGGAAACAAGAAAAGGAAAGGCAGATGAAACAGAAGCAAAAAGAAGAAGAGGAGAGGAAAGTAAGTCATTCAGTCTCAGTGTGAAAAAAAAAATCGACTTCTTGCTTTTTAAAAAAATTGGAAAGTCACATTTTTAAAAGTGAATTAGAAACGCTATATTGGTCGGGCACAATCCCTTTTCTGGTTTTTTAAATGCCTTGTTCGGGATGAAACATAAAAAGTCGGGCGTAAATGACAAATTATTCATTAGTAATTATTCATTAGCTTCATTTTATTTCCAGTAGTTTTTCCACTCTGCATTTTCTTTTTCGCACTGCCTTTTGTCTTTTTCAACTTTCAATACCCTGCTGCAGGTGAAGGAGGAAAGAAAAAAAGAAGCTAAAAAAAATTACGACATTTGGAAAGAGCGAATCGATGAAGCGACTCGCGAACGAAAAAGGAGAGAAAAGGAGGAAGCGGAAAAATTAAAGAAGGAAAAAGAGGAGGAAAAAAGAAGGAAAAACGAGGAAGCAAGAAAGGTTAGTTCATGTTTAAAACGCTCTGCGATGCAGATTCACGATCCACTCAATTAAATTCGCATATGGGTCTCTCATTTTAATGCTGTTACACGCATTTCATAAGCTAAGCCAACCTACAAGTCAAATGCTTCGTTGGCATACTGGATATCTTAGCAGTTTACAGCACAGATGTCTAAGTGCATAGATCTTTACCGAGGACTTCTGATTTTGCCAATGGAACTAGCTGAACTATCTGGACAGTGCCTCTGGACGCTGTCTAGAAATTATCTTTTGAAAGGCGTTTTGCTGGTCAAGTTTTCTGCTATTTTTACTCTAAATTTCATCTATTTTGATAAATCGTCATTTCGTGGTTGGAAAAATATGCAGCAGAATTTTTTTTTAACGCGTTCTTTGCTGTTATAGCTGGACAAAACACACTTTGCCAATACCCCGTTTCTATGTGTGACTTTCTATGTGCATGGTGTGTGTTTGTGCATATGTATGTGAGTGTGTGTGTGTTTACGTATATGTGTGTGCGCACATATATATGTGGTTTATTGAGTGCATTTTGTCCAGGGTTTTCAATTCGAGAACCACATAAGCTAGGAAGCTGAAATTTTAGGAGAAGATTCCCTGCTCAAGTGCGGCCCTGCACATTTGAATTCACCTCTCAAATACGTCTGCTTCCCGCTTACGGACAAGTAAAAGTACATTCAGCTTCTACATGCCCTACAGAAGAGCAATGAAGAGCAAACACAAGCTAGGCGGGACTGCATAAAACGCATAATCGCACCAGCTACGCTGTGCGCATAGTTATTTATTTGTCTCCTTTTTTCAATGTACCATCGGATTTAGATCTGTGCAGTATGGCCAGATGAGAGTAAATAACAAACTCTTATGAACACTAGCAGCTGCATGAAGCATAATTTTAAAAAAACCTGTGTCATTTTAAAAATTTAAATGCAGACGTTTGAAGTGTGGAAAAACGATCGGTTACATCGACTAATGGCTGAAAGAAAGGAACGATTACAATACGAAGAAAGGGAGAGACTGAAACGGAAGCAAGAAAGCGAAGCGAAATATAGTGAAGCACAAAAAGCATTCACTGCCTGGTAAGCACATTTCCGGAATACTTTAAAATGCCATCATTTTTGTGCGTTTTTTTAATGCATTTTTACTGCGCAGCACTACAGCTCTGCTATAGTGAGCAAAAAAGCGTACTGGCAAGAAGCCGTCCGTGTGCGTGTGTTCGGAAGCGAGTGAACTTTTTCACCCACTTTCAACTCAGCAACCACTACAGCAGGGAAGCTGAAAATTTGGAGGCACATTCCTAGCTCACTTGCATCCTCCCTTTTTAAAATCATAGCTCATGCGCATCTAGGTCTCCCTGAAAAAATCTGTAAGATTCCTTTAGTGGAAAACGATTTCGTAGCCCAGACAGGGATATCTTCCGTAGAGATATCCTCTGTGTACGTGTGAAATAAAGATTTCAAGTTCAGCTATTGCACATGCTCATATCGCACACATAGTTACAGTTGAAAATATGTCAACTCGAAAATTAGCAGGAAAACAGTAGCTAAACTTTTGTTAGAATATTTATCGTTCATCTGGAAAACCATGTACTTAAGTCGATTTTCCATTTGCACTTACGCCATGACTTTGGGTCCTTCAAAGATTTTGCAGCAAAGTTAACAGACAAGTTGCAAAGCTGAAAATTTGCAAGGATATTTTATATTCACTCTTAGTCTTAATTCAGCCTGGAGGTGAAATTCGTTGTGCGCAGTCATGACAAATATTTAATTTTATTGCAAATTTAAAAGCGAGTGTATTTTGCGGATTCCACTGCCCTCTTCCGACATTCTTCAAATTTGCATTTATTCAGTGAACGAGCATTCATTGGAAAACCGACCAGGCTTCATGCAAAAAACTGACAATTATTAAAACTAGGCTCATTTCGGCGGCGCTATACACGATTTGCGAACGATTTTTCAGGTGTCCTTTCCGCACTGCTGCAAGGGACGCTGGATGCTGGGTGCGGGCCCCGGGCGTGGGGACTGGAGGCAGAGAAGGGGGTTGGTTGGGCAAAGTAAAGGAAGGGAACAAGGACACAAGTCAGGAGTTTGAAGCAAAAGCTGTGGACACAGTGAAAAGAAGGAGAAAATAAAGTACCACAAAAAATAAAGTAAATTAAAGAAAGCCTAAGCGTAGGAATAAAAGAAAAATAAAAAAAGTGTAAAGCTATGAGTAAAAGCAAAAAACAAAAACGCAGGCTGGAATGCACCAGGTAAGCCGTTGCGATCATGAATTTTTGCACCAAACCGGAATTAGGTAACTGCGTGAATGATTGTTTCTTTACATCAACGTTGTGCACTCAGTACCGTAAATAATCGTAAAGTTTGCATAAACGGAAATAATTTCTATTTGGTAGTCTTTTTTTGAAAAAACCAACTGTACAATGAGAATTTTTCCCGCCAAAAATTTAAGTAGCCGTGTACGAGAACCACGCGTGCCTAGCGGTTGAATCTGAAACCCTTAATTTGTATTCGGACGGAGAATATTCTCCTAAAATCTCAACTTTCCAGCTTTTCTAGTTCCCGAGCTAGCAATTTTCTTAACAAAACTTTCACGGGAGCCACACGTGACCTGTGGCATAACTGGAAGCTTAGTTTGAAACCTTTAAGTTGTATATGAGCTGTGAACATCCTCTTAAAATTTCGGGCTCCCAACTTTCCTGGTCCCCAAGTTAGCCGTTTTCCCCCTAAAAAATTTCATGAGGCCGTACGTGAGAATCTCGCATGCCTAGGGCTGAATTTCATAATTTATGTTGTATATGGACTGGGAACATCCCCTGAAGATTTCAGCCTCCCAGCTTTCCTCTCTCCCGAGTTAGCAATTCTTTCCGCCAAAGAATTTCACGGAGCCAACGCCTGGGCCATGCGCGCCTGGTAGCTGAATTTGATAATTTTGAGTTGTGCATGTGCGGGGAGCATTCGTTTAAAATTTCAGCCTCCTGGCTTTCTTGCTTCCCAATTTAGGGATCCTCGCGCCAAAAACCCTCACGGGGCCGCACGCGCGAACCACGCACACCTGTGGGCTGAATTTGAAATCTTTGAGTTATGTTTGGACGGGGAACATAGCCTCAAAATTCCAGCTTTCTATCTTTCCTTTTTCCTGAGTTAACAGCTTTCCCGCCAAAACCTTCACCCTCTCGTATGCAGAACTCAGGCTTGCATAAGGTTGGTACCACACTCCTGGGGTGACACTTGGCCGGGACGCCCACTAGCAAAATTTTGGCGCTGGAGCTTGCTTGGTTGCCGAGTTGAAATACCCAGCCAGACGAACACATACAAAAACATACACACAAGACAGGATCGTCGCAATATGCGTTTCTGCAATTTGGATATAGGCAAAAACGCATAAAAAGTAAGAGCAGAAAAAAAAACCCGTCATCAGTAGGGGACTTCCCCCTTCATGAAACTGATGCCTAGGTAAAAGTGAAAGCAGATACGGTAAAGCTGCGTAAGTAAAATTGAGAGCTGTCAGCTTTACCTAAGCATCAGCTTCATAAATACAGAAGCCCACTATCACAGACAAGCTTTAAGCAAAAGAAAAACCCATCATTAGAGAAGGCCTTTCCTATTTATGAAACTGATACATAGGTAAAGCTGAGAGTGAATAAGATGAAGCTGCATAGATAAAGCTGAGAGCTTTCAGCTTTACTAAGCATTGGCTTCATAAATAGGGGAGCCCGCTCCTGCAGACGGGCTTTCGTAGGACAATCGTAAAGTTTTCACTTCACCAAGTTTTTTATATGTTTTTTGCTTCTGACTTCTCAGTTTTTATTTGCTCTTTTTTCAGCTTTTATTCACAGGTTCTGATTCTTTGATTTCGCTTTTTCCTTTTTTTTACTTCCATAAGTTCAGGTTTTCTTTCATTTAGTTTTCTTTGTGCTGCTGTGTTGTTCCCTCCTCTTTACTATTGTTCCAGTCCTTGCCTCGAACTCCTAAGTAGTACCCTTGTTACCCTTTATCCTGCCCCCAAATTCTGCCTCCATAGCCGCATCTGGGCATCCTCTCACCCACCACCCCCAACCACTGCCACTATTAATCGTTCCGAATTCCTTACTAGCGTGTTCTTCCTCTTCTCTATTCTGCCCCAGTTCGTGCTCTCGGAGCACCCACTACCACCCTTCAACCACGCCCATCCCCTCCTCCTCTCCCATCCACGCGTTTCAGCCGTTGTGTGCTGCGTAACACTACCCGGCGCCCCTGGCGAAGTGCTAGGCGCGTCGGCGACTGACTCGATGAAGTACCGCTAGCAGTGAGCCAGAGTAACGACCGAATCGACTCAAGCCGAATGCCAGTAGTTGCCAAAAAACTAGCAGTCATGCACACTGGAAGCCCATGCGGTCCCGTAATGCAACACCTTCATCCCAGTCGACCTCCTTTGCTCCTGCATGCGGAGAGAGGTCAAAACACAGCCAATATGAGTCAAGTTGCTGAACTACAGCTCAAAAACCATTCCTGTTGTTAGCGATTTGCAAGTCCAGCTTGAAAACGCATGATCGCACCGGTAACTCTGGTGCGTCCCGGCCCGGGTTAATCCCCTCCCTTGCAAATTTACGGCAACCATGCATTTTAGAGGTTAAGATATCACACGATCTTATGATGCAACACTACCGTCCCAGCCGACGTCCCCTTCCTCTGTATGCAGAAAAGCACCAAAACACTGCTGACAAGAGTGCACGTATTGAACTGAAAAGCAACAACCATTCATAATATTAACGATATGATTGCCTCAAGTTTAGCACAAAAACGTATAATCCCACCGCAGGCCTGGTTTATCGCTACTTAGATTTTTCCTGATCTGAAAGAAATCAGTTAAGGTGCGAAAAAAAGAAAGAGAGGAATGAGTCGGAGCAACGCAAACTGCTGGAATTGAAAAGGACGCAGAAAACACAAAGTAGGAATGAAAAAGAATACAAACAAGCGTTGGCTAAAGAAGCTTACGATGTTTGGATTCAGATTAAGGTCTGTTTTTATTTAATTTGGAGAAAATAAGTGGAGCTGTGGCGTTTTTTTACAATATTTTGTAACGGTAACTTCAAAAAATGAAAAAAAAAAAA